AGCAGTGCTTGTTGTCCCGCTTTGCCTCCTGGCAGCCACGGTTTGAGTGTTATCCTGGAGAGTGCCTAGCACATTCCCGAGCCTCAACAACGTCAGACAACCCTATTCCCAGGCTTGCATGCTGGCACAGAAGGAAGCACCTCATCAGGAATGTGAGGTGGAAAAAGAACAGGCGGAGGAGTGAAAGATTAGCCTCAGCCTGGATCAGCTGCTTCCAGGGGCCTGGCAGGTTGCTTTAGTGTATTTCCTAGTAACTGGTTGTAGCTTTCCCCCCCGCACGGCAATTTGCACTCTTAATCAAATAATTGGAGTGATTAGCCAATGGATGGTTTGACTGCAGATTAAAAACAGAGCTGCAATGGACTGGAACCAGCCATCTGGACTCTCTCGCAGCTCTGTCTCAAAGGCTCTTCAGGAGCTTCAGCTGACGCAGCCCAGCCTGGCCCCATCGCAGGCACCCACTGCGGCAGCCTTCCGGGCACGAGGCGACGGTTCGGCCTGTCACGCCTGGGATGGACTGGGCCAACAGGTCCATGAGCTCAAGCTCCCGCTGGACAGGCCAGTGTGGCTCCTGCCACAGAGCGTGGGCATTGCTTCCGCTGCACCACGTTCAGGTGGCAGGAATGTGCAGAGGGGTTTCGGGGGGGCTGCCACAGGCAAAGAGCCCCGCAAAGCCACGAGGGCTCAAGACCTTTCCGTTTCAGCAAGTCTTGGTGGAGGAAGTTGAGCCAGGTGCAGACTGCCTTTGCCATGCCCTGACTGGCCGTTCCCACCCCTGCAACTGTGGGGATAAGAGGGAGGGGCTCCCTGTACAGATGATGGAGGCGAAGCACAAGAGTGCTCAGAAGACCCCCAGAGTGCTCCGTGAGGGATACCCATGATTACTGGCTGCGCTTTCGCAGTTTCTAGTTGGTCACTTGATCAGCAATTTTAATCTGAAGTCACCTGCCCCAGGTCTTTGGGGCAGACAAGAAATGCATAAAATAGTAACTTTCGGCACAGGCAAGTCCTTCTGCTGCTCTTGGCTCTTCCCAAACGCAGTCCCCACCAGCCACTCTTCCATCCCAACCGGTGACAAGAAGGACGCTCATCCCGGGAGCAAAGGGGGCTTCAGGACCAGCCGGACCTCCAACCAGCAGCCTTCTGCTCCCTGCACCGGCCCCACCCAGGGGTGCAAAGGGTGTGCTAGCCTCTGTAGCACGCCCAACCTTGCTTCGGGCTTCCCTGCCTGTCCCCCCCACTGCCTTTTGGGCTGCATGGTCATCCCAGTCTCACACCCTTCAGACTGACTCCGGCCACAGCTGCAGCTTCCACTGGCCTTGGCGTGCTCTCTGTCCACAGCCAGTGTTGGGAGGTGTTCTGAAAAGCACTGAGGGCAAGGGGCTGGGAGCAGGCAGAAAATGCGACGGAGCCAGTTCAAAGACCAAAGGGGAGGAGATCTGATCTGATACTGACACAGAAGGATGGGCTTTGCTGCAGACACCACACAGGAGCGCAAGCAGACTGGCGTGGCATGCCCTCCAGTGCTATGAAGAGATGCTCTCCAGAGCAGAGCACCTACTGATTGGAGAACGGCAGTCGGAAGGCTGTGCATTGCTCACACCACCCACGGAGCACCTGTCTCCTCTCTAAATGCAGAGAGATGAACAGCTATTTTGATAGCACTGGAAAAAATTCCATTTTCCTCAAAGACAGCCTTTTTCCTCCCCTCTTAGCACCTCCCTCTAGAATCTGCAATTCTCTTTTGCAGCCTCTAGGAATGCTGGAACAACAGAGCAAGTCCACCAGCTCTCCATTGATGGTTCAGGGCTCTCTATACTTTGCTTCACAGCTTCATCCTCCAGCTCAGCAAGCAACAGGGAACCCCAAGACTAAAGCAGATCACAAATAATAAAGGTGGTACAGATAGACCAACATGGCCTCATAACATGGATAGACAGAAGGATGAGGCCCCCTCCGAACCACTGAACGGAAACAGCTGCATCGCTCATCCCGAGCCTTGGCCAAAGGCCCTGCGGCTGTTTCCAGACACCGAGCCCCTGGGGTGTAAATATAGCTGACAGGGACAGATGATTTCCTCCCATTGTTTTCACTTCCTGTGAGCTCAGTGCAACAGGCATTTCACTCATGCGTGCCCTGGCACAGCCTGTTTGGCGACAGAGCAGCACAGCACGGTGCTCCTTCTCTCCACTCCGCTCTCCACTGTCTCCACCCTCCTGCATCCTTTTGTCAAACAGGATTTCAGGCATCACCCGGATTTGAACATTTAGCACGCAAGAAAGGAAGCTAGCTACCTGCCACTTATTTCAACAAGCACCTTTCTAATCCTAATAGCTGCAGATACACGTTGCTGACGTGGTCTGCGGTAACCTCTGAAGCTAGAGAGGGCATTAGAAGACCACCTGGCCATCAGGTATGGGTTGGATTTTGGGGGGGAGGGGGGCAGGCTCTAATGCCCCAGCAGTTTATATGGTTATATGTTTTGGTACTGGCTCCTTCCGGGTCCTAGCGCTGACAGCCATTCCTCCTCCTACTGTTTGAAAACCTGGATTGTGGAAGTGAAATACATGATGCTTTTCCAAATATATAAACACATGGGCATAATTCATTCTGATGGATGAGACGGGATCACTCTGGTGTACAGCAGGGGTGGGTAGGCCAGCGATGGCGATGGAGGGCGCGACCCAGCAGATGCACAGTCTGTGGGGAGGGATCAGGGGAGTTGTAGGCCAAGACCACCAGAGGGCCACAAGATGCCTCTCGGTATCACGGGAGGCCACGGCATGCCAATGATTAATGCTGGAAATATGGGGGGCACTCGCCCAGGAGTGTTTCCGCCATAAGACAATCTGTGGGTGAATGGCAGGTGGCCCCTCCAGAGCTCATCCAACCCTGTCGGGAGGCTCCAAGACACCGTAGCGCAAGCAGCACTTGCCCAAGACAATCGGGGCACCGCTCACTCCCGACTCAGTCTTGCCTGGAGGACGCTCCAGAAGGCCCTCCCAACGGGCCCGCCTCCTCCTGCTGCTCCTTGCCACTCCAGCCAGCTGGAGGCTGGTTCCTCCCCAGTGCCAAGCTGGGCCTCTAATCAAACCCAGAGAGGCCAGGTGGGGATCTGTGCTTGGCTCTGTGTCTACACGGGGCAGGTATGGAAACACTGGGGCCAATGACGCAGGGGCTTCACAGAAACAGAGCATGCCAGAAGAGACCCCCCAGGCCATCCAGTCTGACCCCCAGGTGCAGCGGCTCCTCTCATGACATGCCTACCACATGCATGTCCAGCCTATCCTTGAACAGCCTCACTGATGCGGCTTCAACCACCTCCCATGGAAGTCCATTCCATACTCTTGGGGTCCTAACTGTCAGGAAGTACTTCCTGGCACCCAAATTGAACCTGGTTTCCTGAGCTTTGCTCTGTTGGAGCATGTCCTGCCTTCCTCTGCAGGGGAGAACAGGTCTCTACCTACCTCTGTGTGACACCCCCCCACATACCTGTATATTGCCAATAGATCCCCTCTGAGTCTCCTCTTCTCCAGGCTGAAGAGACCCAGTTCCCTCAGCCTTGCCTCATACGGCTTCCCCTGCAATCTGGACACCATCCCTGTGGCCCTTCTTTGCACCGATTCCCACCTGGCTATATCCCTTTTGTAATGGGGGGCACAGAACTGAACACAATATTCCAGTTGCGGTCGCACGAGAATCATATAGAGTAGCAGTAATACCTCCCTCGATCTAGAAGCCACACTTCTGGCTATGCAACCAAGGGTGGCATTCGCCCTTCTGACCACCGCATCACACTGCCGGCTCACGTTCAGCCTGCAGTCAACCTGCACCCCGAGGTCCCTTTCACAAGTGCTGCTCTCCAGCCACTTGTCCCCTAACCTGTACATGTGATGCCCATTCCTATGCCCCAAGTGCAAGACCTTGCACTTATTCACCAAGGGCTGTTTGAATGGGTGCATTTGTCCCAGTAAGCAAAAACACAGTACATTCAAGCCGGCTGCTGCCGAAAGTGAGCACAACAAGGGAGTCAGCGAAAGCTTTTGCATGTACTGGGAGATTCTTGACAGCAGCTTCCCAGACCGCCAAAAGGCCCGTTTCACTCTTGCAAACCAAGAAGGCTTGCTTATAAAGAAAGGTGCATCCACCCTCAAGGGAGGACCCCCACCCACGCATGTGCACTTCTGGAAGAGCCAGCAGCCAGCGTCCTCTGAGGGTACATGGGTCTGTCTCATCTCTGCACCAGGAGTGAGCCAATGCAGGGACATCATCATCATCATCATCATCATTATAACATTTCTATGCCGCCCCTTGCCGAAGCCTCATTGCAGGACCCCTGTGCCCACTGGCGGAAACTAGGAAGGCAAAGCAGGTGGAGACCCCATGGGGAAACTCATTCTGGATCACGGGGCTACTCAACAGCCTTCAAGTATGCCGTCAAATTCTCCTTGTGCGCTTGCGCTTTTTCAAGGCATACGGTGTAGGGTGGAATAGCTGTTCTGAAGGGACCCCGGCACAGCCCATTTGTCAAAAATGCCACTTGATAAGATCGCTGTGGAAGCTGTTGGTTAAGTGCTTCAGTCAAACTCAACTGAAGTACTGAGAAATAACTTCTAAATAAATAAGAAGCAGACAGCTGGGGGTTGCATGCATTCTACCAAACAGGATTTTAAGCACTGCATGTCAAGCATGTCATTTAGGAGATAACAGGTACAAACTTAAAATGCAATTAATGGAAGACACTCTAAATTTGACCATATGGAGACTCATTTAGAAGAATGATTCAGCCGGGGAGAATGATATGAATGCAAATTTTCTGCTATATACAACCTTCCGAAAGTGGCTTGTCTGGCTTACCTTGGTAGCTTTTATATGATAAAGAGTTCTAGGAAGAAAATGTGCTATTTAAAACCTGTATGACTGTGAGAAAGCCAAGGTCAGGCCCAGCACTGGACTCAGCATAAAATCAGCAGCGACCTTCCAGAAGGAAAAGTTCTTACCTTGAAATCCAAAAGCTGCTGGTTGATCACATCCACCTCTGTCCCGACCACCCACTGCAATGCCTCACTCTCTTCTGCAGTGGCCGTCATGTAGTTCAGCTCCTTCAGCTTGTTGTAGAAGTCCTGGACGCGAGCCAGCGCTGTATCCACCTGCTCCAGGCGACTTTTGCCCCTTTCAGTCAGCTTGCCACATTGTTTGTTTAAGGTCTCTAGTTCGTGTTTCAATCCTATGAGGTCGGGGCTTCCTTCGTCATCCAGCATCTGCCTACATTTCTCTTCGGAAGCATGGATGTCCAACCTCAGCTGCTGAAGTTTGCCCAGGAATTCCTGGACATCTTCAGCTTGGGACTGGAGGCTGTCCATGTCCCTTCCAACAGGGCCCATACTATCTAACTCATCGTCTAGGTCTGCCAGCTGAGAGAACATCTCCCGAACATGATTATTAAACTGACCAATCCCTTCAAGCTTGCTTTCCATAAGCACACAACATTCATTGACCTTCTGTTTGACTGCCTTGAAATCTTGCTGGGCAACCTCAGCTTGGCTTAAGAGGTGGGAGGCATCTGACCCATCTGGAGCATCTTCTACTAGACCTTGAGTGAAATTTCTTAGGTAATCCACCTGAGATTCCAGTGCTTGGAGAGCCTCTTGTTGGGTTCTCAGCTTCTCCAAGTTCTTAGCACTGCAGGCCTGAGGGCCTAGAGCCTCATAGATTTCTAGCTGGTGCTTAGTCCCTTCTAGTTTCTTCTCAATGTTCCGCAGACTTTCCTGGAACTCCTTCAGCCGTTGCGACATTTCTTCAAGGGAACTGGTCTTTGCTCGGAGCTCCTCTGTAACAGCATCCATCTTCTGGTTGATCCGAGCTTTTTCATCCCGGACATCGTCTTCATCCATTTCTGACGCATTGATGAGGATGTCAGCAGCACTGTTCAGCATTTCCAGAAGAGAGCACCGTTTCTCCACATCACTCAGCATGGCCTTTGACCTCAGCAGGGCGGCTTCTAGCTGCACTGGATCCAGCGTGACGTCCAGCTCCAACATCTTTGATTTGCAGTCCTCTACCCATGGGAAAAGGTCTTCAATGTGACGCTGGTATTTCTGGGCCTTCTGCAAGCAGTCCTTGAGTTTGGAATGGCGGTCCACAATTTGCTTGCTTAGCTCCTCCCAGTTTGATTTCAGGTTGATCAGCTGGCTTTGCAAATTGGCTTTTTCCTCCCCGGGCTGAACAGAGAGGAGCAAAGACTCGCCCTCCATCGCGATCATTTCATAGGAGCCACTGTGCTGATTGAGGCTCTTCTGCAGTTCCTCCTGCTCCTGGATCTGAAACTGCAACTTCTCCAGCTTGGCAGAGATCGGACCAATCTTTGCCTGCTGCTTCAGCTTGTCATCCAGCCAAACATGAAGCTCATCAAACATCTGCTGGAACTGCTGTGAGCTTGCGAGGGCTGTCTGCAATCGATTCATCCGGTCACCTGAAAAGGAGGATGATGCACCATTAATACTGCATTTCATAAACTAAGGAGGAGCTCTGCTAATGTACCCAAGGCACACAATTTCCAATTGCTGGAGATGAGTGTCTTCCAGCAGAAAGGTGGTCTGGGGCACCTTTCAAAGCAAGGCAGTCTTGGGAACCCATGTGGCTGCAATGCGCCTTGCATTATGGTACTAAGGGCCTACCATGTAGAAAGCTGCAGTATTCCCAAGTCGTGATTCCTTAGAAATACAGAATCTCTAGACTTTAAGTGAAGAGCTCAGAACGGGATGGGATGAGATCCCACTTCTTTTCGGCCATTCCTGAGACTGACTTAATCAACCCACTTCTTTTTTTCCTGATACTTCAGGCATAAAGGGAAATATGAAACCAAATCCAGCCATTTCTCTGGCATTTCAAGGAACCTGGCCGGGGAGAGGCTTTCCGCAGATACGCTGGCCTTAGATTCCTCCTTATGGGAAGCAGGAAGCAAAATACTTGCTGATCCACAACCTTGACACAAACGAACATTTGGAAGAATGGTCCAAGGAGGCTCATAAAAAACCCAGTACTAACAAAGTTAGTAGCTTTGCCATCTCACATATCTCATGAAAACCGCTGTTCTTCCTCCTATAAGGCTCTGCTCATGTGCTCATTGGGAGACTGCCCGGGGCTGAAGGCCCTTTCCACATCTGACGATCTTCAGATGCAGGCATGAACCACGTGACACGTCCACATGGCCAATGCGCAGCATGACAAAAGAGCACGGACACGGCAGGAGGCCATGCCTGCTCAGGGACACATCAGCTTCACCTGCTCTGCCAGTGCTCAGCTCTCGCCTGACCAGATCCTTCCACAGGGTACTAGTGGCCTTTTGGAACATCTTCCCTAAGTTGTGGAGTCCTGGGCTTTATACCACTGGACTTTCCAAATGCCACAAAATCTTTTTCAGCAGCTGAGGCCCTGTGTCTTTTCACCCATACCTGCCAAGTCCTCCAGGCCCTTGAGAGGAAGGGCCACTGTCTCCAAGCGCTTCCTCAGTTCGTCCTTGAGGTACTGTTCCCGAATGAGGTCAGAGAGCTCTCCGCACAGGATCTGGGCCTCTGCAATCTCATCTTCCAGCTGCTCCAGGTCAGACCGGATCTCACTGGTTTCCTCCAGCTGCTGCTTCACTGCTTCTGGCTGGGTGCTGATGGCAGGCTGGGAACTCAGGCGCTGTCCCGCAGCCTTCACCTTCTCCGACAGCACCTGAAGCAATTCCTGATACTGGGTGCTCTTGACAATGGCCTGGTCAATCTGGCTGGAACGAGAGTTGAGCTGCTCCATGAGCTCGGCCCACTTCTGGTTGACAGCTTGGAGCTCCTCCTCCACATGGTTGCTGGAGGGAGACGTTTCACTTGGGCAGGTGAGCATTGCTTGGGCCGCCTCATTCAGTTGGTCATATTGGTGCCTGCGAGCTTCAAATTCTTTCAGCATGAACTGAAATGAAAACAGGCATCTTTAACAACAGACTACAGCTGGCATGGTTGTCATCAAGGCTAAGCAAGACCATTTAACTGGGAGCATCCAACAGTTCGTTCTTCCATTCATCCTTATGCTTAGGTCACCATTAAGGTATTGCATAACATTACCAGCCTCGGCTATGTTGGAAGCCACAGTTTTATGAATTCATAAACCCAACACTACCAACAACACATCTGTATTCATGAATTTAATGGAAGCAACAAAGATGCCTTTCCTGTGAAATACACCTGTGTCTTTCAAAGTTCATATCCCCAGGGAACCTTTTCCACACCGATTGATCTGAAAACGATTCTGCATGCATTGCAAGCTCCGTGGCGCAGGCTGCCTTGTTGCTGACCCCACGGTTGCCTTGCATAGAGCAGGAGTGCTCCCCGCTCCCCCCGGAAGGAGGCTCAGCCATGGACCTCTGACTGAAGGATGCCCGATAGCTGTTCCAAGGAGCTCTGGGCCTCCCTGGTGTACCATCTGACCTAAAGCATAAGTGGCAGCAGTTTACAAGTGGACCCTCGCCTTCATTCAGGAAGGTGCTTTTAGTGATGTGCAAATGTTAGCTGATGACCTCAGTTAAAAGCCAAAGGGGCTGGTCATAGGACTGCAGAGTTAAGCTGACTGACAACATGGTTACAGTCGAGTTTGGCAGCTAAAAGCCATCTGCAGACTTTCTGGAAGGCCTGCAAAGAAGCTGTGGGGATGCGGCTTTTAACAGGATTTCAGCTCTGAGAAAGGCTTTGGGAGCTGGGAGGATGATAACACTCAAAAGGCATTCCATTCCTCTGCCTTATTTGTCCTGCTGTTACTCCCGACCATATAAACAAACTGCACGGGGAGAGTCAAGGGCATCACCCAGGAGATTTTTCTCCCCCTCTGTGTGCTTGGCCCACTACAGGCTTCTTAGCAATCTGATTCAGAACCCCCCAAGGAGAAAGGCAAGTACAAGAGATCAGCCAGAGCCTGGATGCTTTGAGCACTTTTAAAATGAACCTTGGCCAGGGCTGGCAGGCTGATGACTGGCTGGAACGCAGCTGGGCTGCCGGGGGCCGCTCAGCGAGCCAGGCCAGGACTGGAAATTGCCAAGGGCCAGGCGGAATTCCTGGACTAGGAGCAGCAATGCTGCCCTCTGGCCCTGTGCAGTGGTGGTGCTGCAGGACCGCTGTGGGGCGGCCATCAGCGACCTCCGCCTCGCACATGCGCAGTGCTCCCAGGGCCCCTCGCTTGCTTCATGCAGGGCCAGGCCACACCACACCGACCACCATCCCCCCAGCCCAAGCCTGCAAGGTGTGCATGGGGGGGGGGGGAATGGCCTCGCCTACTTCTCACCTGGACCTGCTGCTTCTGTGCATTCAGCATGTTTGGATCAATGGACAGTGGGCCCAGCACACTCATCATCAGCTCCTTCTCCATCAGCCAGGGGCGCAGCTGGCCTTCAGCTACCTGGAAGCTTGCCAGCTCGCTGGCTGATTTCTCCAGCTTTTGCTGCCGCTCTGCAGTCACCTGGTTGGTGCGCACCCACCTAGAGTCTGAACGCAGAAACAGTACGGTTGGGTGTGTCGCTAGTGCGGTGCTCAGGCTGTGTGTGCCCTCACTGGCGGCAGAGGGGCAGCGCCTCGGGAATGCTCGCAGATGCTGCATGGGCAGAGCCAGCCGGCAACGGCCAGGCCCTGTGCCCCGGGCCCCCACCGCATCCTCAAGGGCTCCTGTTTTCCAGGTCACTCAGCCTGCTCCACAACCTGGATCTTCAACCTGCCCTGGGATTTGAATCCAAGCACCCCCAGAGGTGTTCCTCCCTGGCCGCACTTGGCAACCTCCCGCCCAGATGGGCCTGCTGCTCTTTGCCTTGCTGAAACAAGGCCTCTGTGTCACCCACCCCGATTCCCCACCATTTCAGACACACGAAGCACTATGCCACGGATCCACGGTGATCCGGATGTGGCCCACCTTCTGGCCACCCCGGCTGAAAGGATACTTCCACCCCCAACTGGTGTCATAGCAGAGAAACTGCAGTTGGTAAAGAGGAACAGACAGAGAATGTGCATTTATTCATTCTTCCCAGGCCAGCTGATTTCGTAAAACACATGTGCCTTAAAAAGAGGTCAAGCCGCTTCAGCAGAACTTCCTGGTGGACCAGGCTTCTGGTGTCACACTTCTAACATCTGCCCCTTTACCCCAGTTCCCTTGCTAGTCAGAAGGCACTCCACCCCTTAGTTTGGGACAGGCCCAGAACCCAGGCGAGCCCTACAGATTGTCCTTGATGTCCCCAAGTCACATACTTAAGTCCTCCAACATCTTCTTCCAATTTCCTGCTTCTGGCGATTCAGGGTATTTCTCTAGGAGTTCAGAGAGCAGCTCCTGTGCTTTCTGGACCTTTGCAGCATTCTGCTCCAGCTCGGCCAGAAATGCCTATTGGGAAGAAAAGAGGAAAGCCTACTGGGCACTGCGCTGGGGCAGTCACTTAAAATATTTGAGCTGCTCTTTAAAAAGTACAGCACAGGACAGCACAGCACACCCAAGACGGCTTGCAACCGCGATGCTGGCCGTGGGTCACAGGCCGCCCCCACTCAAGGCAGGTCGGTGCAGGCATGCAGTATGATTTTTGCACAGCATGTTGAAGGGGGCTTCTGTGTATAACTCTGGAAAATCTAAATCTGTTGGAACAACTTCCAATAAGTGTAATCGGACAACCCTGGAGAATTCCACAGAGAACATCTTTGTGGCACTCTATGCTGAAGGTTTCTGTAAAATGTACTCTCCCCCTTCTGTTATCATGAACAGCTTCAAACAAGGCAAGGAGGAAAGGTATTGCTGCGTAAACACCAGACCTTGTTATGTTCCGCCTGGGCCCTCATTGCTTCTGGCTTGGTTGGCGAGGAAGACGCCTCGAGTGCCACCAGGGTCTGTTCCCTTGCCTCCAGCCACGCCAGCAGCGCGCCCGCCTCCTCCTGGGCATCCCTCATCTTTGCCAGCATGGCCGACAGCTGCGCCTGTCGCCCCTGCAGGACGTCCCCGAGGGCCTCGTACTGCTGGTTCACATCCGACACATCACACTGGATCACCGTCAAGTCTAGGCCAAAGGCAAAAGGGGAAACCGAGTCCAACTTGAACAGGAGAAAGAATTTGATTTCCACATTGGTAAACAGACAGAAGACTCAATGTGTTCACTCCATCGAAATGCACTAAGTGCACTTGCTGGGATGGCGAAGTGGGAAGCTCGCACGCTTGTTTTACTTACAATGTTCCCATCTCACATTTTCTTAAAGAAGGTCATGATTAAAGGCACTAGAAAAGGAGGAAACCTGCTGGCATGGAAAGCAGGCTTAGACTAAACTGAACAAGGCAGGCATCGTATGTTAAACAAATATTGGGAAAAGGGGGACGTCCTCCACATTTCTCCATTTTGGATGGACATGGCTGCTCTGGCTGGGAACATTCCATGCACTGCAGTGGGAGGACAGGTTGGGGAAGGCTGACCCAGCCTTTCTCCGTTGTGAGCCTGCAGCTTGCGAAAGTTCTCGGAGTTTGCTCTAGCAGCCGCCATCGCTGACGATCCATAGGCACCGCAGAGAGCTCATCTCCCTTTGGGGAGCAGAGCAGGCCAGAAGTATTGCCAAACAAGATAAGCAGATAGACATGTGACATCTTTTTAGACCCTTTGTGGATGGTATCATGGGATATGGTAATTTTAGATCAACACTGTGACAGACCTTGATCTGGAGGACATTACGCCTTGATAAACTGGATTTAAACAGTTATCTTAGCAATCCTATGTCATTAACTGGTTGCTGAAAAAGTATGTTGGCTTTCTTTATAAGAATGCTGAACGTAAAAGAACTCTACACTTAGATCGTTGTAGATCTGGCTAAGATTTTTATCGTGACAAAAAGTTGAATAAGCATCCCTGTAAAATTCAAGGTGTGTGTGTGCCTTGCATACAATTCGGACAGGATCGTTTGAGATCACGTGATCAGGCAACCTTCTCAGATATAAGGTAAGGTTTAGACGAGGGTGGGAAAAGGCGCTTAGCAAGTTCTTCTGTTTTAGGACATTGTCTTCGTTCATGCAGTTAGGACCTGTGAAGTCCCTGGGAGCAGAGTGGCATATTCCCTTCCCCACTTTCACAGACACATTGGCAGTTTGCCTGGATGGCTGGGGACACAACGGGTGTACATACACAGCTTTTATCAATAGGCCTCAACCTCACCTATTTCCCTGTTACTCTGTAGGACAAACATGGCAACACAACAAGACACAGTCACAAAAGCATGCGCCATAGGCCGAGCTCCCTCACCTTTGCAGGTGTGATATCCGTTAACGCTGCCTACAGAACTTCCCCCAGTGGGCAGCACAGAACCTAAGCAAAACAATGAGACAGACAGAATGATGGAGACAAACATATTAGTGATATTGATGCTTGCAAACACCTTTCCAGTGAGGATGCAACCTGCTTTATGCAACTGGATCTAAGCGTGAACTGGCCCAGCCTCTAAGAAACTCGAGCTGCACCTCTGCCGGCTCATGAGGCCAGGCCATGGAGTGCCCCTTTGTGGCCTGGGGCAGTTCACACATTACCTTCCTCACACTGGAAAAACAACGATGGAATCACACCTTCTCCATTCCAGCAACTGAAAAGTAGCATGCGCAGCCCGCTGGGCCATCTGGGGCCTTCGGCCTCCCAGAACAGGGGTGCGAGGGAGAACTTCTTCACACCGGGTTAAGTGAGGAGACCCACTAGGCACGGCAGTGGCAGCATGCGCAGCGGGAACTGTCCAGAGGGGGTGGCTTTCATCCCACCTCCCTGTGAGGCGCGTGACCAGCTTAATGTGAACACTTCCCAATGACTTGTGGGTGTCCTCGTGACCCAGTTCATATTACTCAGACCACAAGGAGGACTCTGAAGAAGCGGCGACAGGTAGCCAGGCTGGGAACCACAGCAGGAAGCAGCCACACAATCCAGGTAACCCCACCTTTGCATATACAGTGAGAGGATGACCATGCGGAAATGGCGCCTTGGCAGCGATGAGATGGTCAAGAGTCTCGTGAACCAGGTCAGAGTCCGTCTTACAGAGATGGAGGCGACAGAGAGGGAAGCCCCGGCATGCGCAACATTAGTGAAACACAGGACAAGAGGACATTCTGCAACACACAACCTTCTGGGATGCTTCCAAGAGCTCTTGCATCATGACCCATGCAAGGAAGCCTCCCGTGGCTGGGCAAGCGACGAAGCGAGAGGCAGGTGCTGCTTGGCTAGGAATGAACGAAACCTCCAGGTGGTTTGGAAGGTTCCACAGCCCCTGCAGGTATGTGCCTTAATTCCACTCCAACACTGGTATTGTCCACGATATAGATTTATATGCAGCAGTTTGTCTGTGCTGTTAATCTGCACTCTGATTCTTACATATTTTGGGCGCCGAGTTATGATCCACACTCTGCAGTGCATTTGAGATGCGGGACATGCTGAGCTGCTCTGACTGTCCACTTACATACTTCCTGCTAACTGCATTCTGCACTTTCATTTTATTCTGTTTTTGCTTAATCCGTCAAACTTGCCATATGCCTGGGAGACAGGGTTAAATTTGGGGATGGGGAAGGGGCATTCCTCCTACAGTGGAAGGTACAGAACTGGGAGCGGGACAAGCTGCCCAAGGCAGAGGTGGGAGAAAGCCAACCAAACAAGCTGAGGAGCCCTGTCTACTTGCCCCAAGGCACTGTCCACAGAATCAGAGCAGAGCAGAGCAGAGCTGGAAGGGGCCGGGAGGCCGCCAGGTCCAACCCCTGCCCTTGCGGGATGCTCAGGTACACCACCCTATTCCCATGACAGTCCAAACACTTTTGGGATGTCACCGGCGAAGGAGAGCCCACACCTTTCCAGCGAGGGAGGACAGGCCCACCATCGCCACCGCCTGGGGACTGACCGGCCGCCGCTGATGCCGCTGCTGCTCTGACAGACGGCAGCCATCACGGGACCGGGACGCTGCTGGCCTGCGGCTCCTCCACCTGTGCCGGCGGGTTCTCCGCGGGCCCCGCCCTTGCCCCCCCCCCCGCAGCGTGGGTGGCAGCTGTGCCGGATTGGGGGCAGGGCGCAGAGAGGGGCCACAGGCTTAACTCGCCAGCTGCAGTCTGAGGCCGGCGGCCGAGGGCTAAGGGCGCCGGCGCTGTTTGGGGCCGTGCGGGGCTGGGCTGGGACAGGAACTTTGTGTTTTTTATAGTGGGTGGGCTGGAGGGTTTTAAATTGTATTTTATTGTATTTGTTTTAGTGACTCCACATCTGGCTGCTATTTTTAAGGGGTTGCCTGGGAGCACGTGGGCGCCACCACTGGGGTGGTTTTGGTCAAAGGGAGAAATGGCATTGGGGGATTAACATGTCGGCATAGAAGAAGGAGAGACAGATGGTTGATACCTTTCCTCCTTCTGGTTATTCCTCCAACCGGAAGGTTCCAGGTAAGCTTATCAACTGCCCCTTGGGCCTGACAGTGCTGTTGCTTAATGCCAGGTTGGTCCATAATAAAACATCCCTCATCCACAACTTAATTGTGGATGAGTGGTCCGACCTGGCTTGCATTACAGAGACCAGGGCGGGATGTAGTCCTCTCTCAGCTGTGCCCGCCTGGGTATCTAGTTCGGCACCAGTCACGTCCAGAGGGGAGGGGAGGAGGGGTCGCTTTAATTTACCAAGCTTCTATTTCCCTCGCGGGGCTTTCTGTCCTCCCGAGACCGGGTCTAGAGTGCTTATACCTGGTGCTGGGCGATCGAGACAGACTGGGGATTCTGCCGGTGTACCATGCACCCTTCTGCCCATCAGACTCCCTGCCTGAGGTGACGGAGATCGTCTCGGACCTGGTGCTGAAGACCCCCAGGATGTTGGTCCCGGGGGACTTCAATCTCCATGCCGAGACTGTTCTGAACGGGGCGGCTCAGGACTTCATGGCCTCCATGACAGCCATGGGGCTGTCTCAACATGTCATAGGCCCGACCCAGGAATGTGGACACACGCTGGACCTGGTTTTCTCGACAGGGCAGGAAGAAGGTGATTTGAGGGTGAGGAATTTGCGTCTGATTCCCTTGTCATGGTCAGCTCACTTCCTTGTGAGGTTTGAGCTTGGAGATGGCCTTTCCCTCTGTAAGGGTATGGACCCTATTGTGATGGTCCGCCCTCAGAACGGGATGAATCCGGATGGATTCCTGAGGGCTCTAGGGGAGTTTCCGGTTGATAAAGCTGGCGCTCCTGTTGATGCTCTGGTTGAACTGTGGAATGGAGAAATGGCCAGAGCAATTGACACGATCGCCCCTAAGTGTCCTCTCCTGCCAAGCAGAGCCCGTCCGTCTCCATGGTACACACCTGAACTACAGGCGATGAAGCGGGTTGAGACACGACTAGAGCATAAGTGGAGGAAATCACGGGATAAATCTGACCAAACACGCTTACGAGCTCATTATTGAGCCTATTCTGTGGCAGTGAGGGCAGTGAAGAAGAAATTCTTCTCCACTTCCATTGCCTCCTCACAGTGCCGTCCAGCAGAGCTTTTTCGAGTGGTGCATGGGCTGATATACCCCGGCCCTAAGAAAGATCCTGTGCCACCATCGATGGGCTGCTGTGACGACTTTGCACAGCACTTCAAGGAGAAAATCATTCAGATTTGTTACAAGCTGGACTCCACAATTGATTCAGATCCCTTAGGGGAGACACCAATGACTCTGTCTGATCAGGTATTAATGGATGAATTTCAGTTAATGCGGCCTGATGATGTGGACAAGGTGCTTGGACAAGTATGTCCTACCACCTGCTTACTCGACCCTTGCCCTTCGTGGCTGCTGACCAAAGCCAATCACGGGATTGGTTCCTGGATCCTGGATGTTATTAATGCCTTTCTGAGGGACGGCCGGGTGCTCGCTCCTTTAAAGGAGGCGGTAGTCCGGCCAGTCCTAAAGAAGGCATCCCTGGATCCAGAGATGGCCACCAATTATAGACCAGTGGCCAATATCCCATTCCTGGGCAAGGTGTTAGAGCGGGTGGTGGCGGGACAACTCCAAGCACTCTTGGATGAAACTGATTATCTGGACCCATTTCAGTCCAGCTTCAGACCCGGGTATGGTACTGAATCTGCTTTGGTCGCCCTGTACAATGACCTGTGCAGGGAGAGAGACAGGGGGAGTGCATCCCTGTTGGTCCTCCTGGACCTCACAGCAGCTTTCGATACCATCAACCATGGTATCCTCCCGGATAGGCTGGCAGGATTGGGAGTAGGAGGCACTGCTTTGCAATGGTTCCGCTCCCACCTTGATGGCCGATTCCAGAAGGTGGTGCTGGGGGACTTTGACTCTGCGCCATGGCAGCTATGCCATGGAGTACCACAGGGGTCCATTTTGTCCCCCTTGCTATTTAGTATCTATATGAAACCGCTGGGAGAGGTCATGAGGAGGTTTGGGCTGCAGAGTCATCAGTATGCTGATGATACCCAGCTCTACCTCTCGTTCTCCACCAATCCAGGTGAGGCAGTGGCTGTACTGAACCGGTTCCTGGCCGAGGTAGTGGGCTGGATGAGGGCCAATAAACTGAAGCTCAGTCCAGATAAGACAGAGGTTCTGTTGGTGCGTGATTCGAGTTCCTGGGTAGGTGACTTGGGCCTTGCCCTGGACGGGGTTGCACTCTCTCTAAAGGACAGGGTCCACAGCTTGGGAGTGCTCCTCGACCCAGAGCTGTCCTTGGAAGCTCAGGTGACTGCAGTGGCGAGGAGCGCTTTCCTTCAGCTTCGGCTAATCCATCAGCTGCGTCCCTACCTGGAGGAAGATTGCCTAGCAACAGTGACACATGCATTGGTTACTTCCAGGTTAGATTTCTGTAATGCGCTCTACGTGGGGCTGCCCTTGAAGACAGTCCGGATACTTCAGACGGTTCAAAATAGAACTGCCAGGATGCTGTTGGGGACAGAGCGTTACTCTCATATAACCCCAGTCTTCTGTCAGCTCCACTGGCTTCCCATCAAAGTCCAGGCTCAATTCAAGGTGCTGGTAATTACCTATAAAGCCCTAAATGGCTTGGGACCAGGATACCTAAAGGAATGCCTTTTTCCCTATTTGCCCTCCCGGTCCTTCAAATCGGCAATAGAAGCCCTCCTCCGGGAACCCTCTGTGAAAGATATTAGGAGACAGAGTACCCGGAGGAGGGCCTTCTCTGCGGTGGCACCCCACTTATGGAATGCGCTCCCCAGAGAGATCTGCCTGGCGCCATCGTTATATGTTTTTTGGTGCCAGGTTATGACCTTTTTATTTAATCAATATTTTAGTAAGTTTTAATACTGAATTGTATTATTGTATTTTATTAATTGCAGCCAGAGTGGGTCGTCAATTTATTTATGCTGTTAACCATCCAGAGACGTTAGTAATTGGACGGCATACAAATTTTATAAATAAATAAACTTTCCCAGGTAAGAGGTTCCATTGTCATACTGCTCTGCCAGTCAGGAAATTCTTCCTGGTGTCTAGTTTAAATCTGGTTTCTTTGAACTTCAGTCTGTTATTCCGTCTCCTGTACTCTAGAATGAATGAGAAGAGATCTTGTCCTTCCTGTGTGTGACAACCTTGCAGGTACTTGTCATGGGCCCATGACATTCCGATCAGAAAACAAGTTAAAAGTGGGCTGGGTGGAATAACAGGTGAATCCAGAGGTGGCCACAGAATCAGATCCAGAGAGTGCTTCTCATCTCTTGCTGTTTGCGAGCTTGTGTCTGCACACAACAATGCTGTGCAACGCCCAGGGCTCCAGTGGGTAATGGGCTGGAGGAAAATCCACACGGAAGGATTCCCCTCAAAAAGAATACTTGGAAGCCACAGGTTTGATAACAATCTGTAACCCTACCAGCCATGGTGGGCATGTCATGAGCAGAGCTGGCTGGAGCCGGGGCTCAGACTAGATGGCCCGGGAGGTCCCTTCTGACTCACTCTGCTTCTATGTTTCTATATTCCATGAAGGTTCTGTGCATATCAAGTCAATCAGATGACACCATTGCCTCCTTTGGGTAAGGCATTTCTTAAGGCAGCGAAGAGCACAATCTAATATTTCCTGCTTAAAAGGTCATGTGTCTACAGCCTTTTATCAATTTTTTAAAAGTTGGAATTCATGCACAAAGATACATCTATATATAAAATTATGCAGTACATGATTCTAAAATGATTCTTAAAAAGAATGTAAAATATTAGAAAATGCCTTTTAATTTTATTCATATGTAAAGATTATTAGATTTTAAAAGGAGAGATAATAGGGATAACAGATTTTTAAAGTTATCGGAATAACTATTATTCTAATTGTTAATATATAAAATCTCCTTTTGAAGCTCAAAATGTTTTTAAAAAGCATTCTATAACATTATACTCTAATCTGATAATTAAAAACAAGTTTTAAAGTGCCTGAGAGCAAGTTTGGAGGGACAGATGTGGGGGCAGGGTTCATCCTGTGTGTCTAAACACAAAGGGCTAAAGCATTCTACTGTTACCAGCTGAAGAAAGTCATTTCGAAATAAAGAACAAATGGTATTCAATGCACTGCAAATTTCCCTGTAATTCTGCAAACTCTTTGAACTATTGGAAACGGCAGGTGACAAGTAGCACATTTTAAGCACTGTTGGTAACAGCCCATATTAGAGGAAGCTGCTACCAGAAACAGTCACTGCAAAGAGGGGGCCGAAAATGCTGCTTATAGCTGTGAACATGCAAGAACCTCTGAAGGGGCCTTGTTCCGAGTCAGCCCACACTGGGCCACTCTGACTGGCCGCGGCTTTCTGCAGCTTCGGTTGAAGAGGCCTTTCCTAGCCCTGCGACTGGAAATCCTCTGACGGGAAAGCCTGGGGGCGAAGGTGGACAGGTTTGCCACTGACTCCACTGCTGGGGTGTGGGCCCTCTTCGTAAGCGGACACGGCATGGGAATGAGAAGTGGAAAAGGCCTCTGACTTCCGCAGGGACACGGCCAAGGGAAGGCAGGGCAACTCCGCCTCCGCTCTAGTGGCCGCGAGGACACACCTGCTCCGCTCACCTGTCTTGGACTGCGCATCAGGAGCGGTAATTTCCACTATCAGGTTCTCTAGGGCTGTCCCTCGGTGGTTTATCTCCTCCACAAGAATCCTCTTCCCTGACCACTCCTCCAAGAGGACCTGCGAGGGAACACGGGCTGCTGTCAGAAAGTGGCCACCGCAAAGTGGGAACGGCAAGCACCCGCGACGGCTGGGCCGCTCTGCGCGGCTGCTCGGCGCCTCTCCGGGGGCTGCTGCGTGGGGCCCTGGCTGGCCCTGCTGGGCTAGGGTGGCAAGTGAGCTTGCTGCACTATGGAAAGGGAGGGAAGGAGGGTGGGCAAAGTGGGAGCAGAAGGCAGCAGGGGGGCTTGCATGATGCCCCAAACCTCTTGGGAACTCGGCCACACCCCGCAACTAAAACTCCCAGGGGGTTGCCTGGCCGCCAACCGCAGGGGAGGGGGCTTGCTCCTGCTGGGGAGGGGGCAGCAAGGGTGCGGGGAGGGCAGCTGCAGGCAGCAGCTGAGGGGGGAGGGGGAGTGGCAGTGTGTCTGGCTGGGCCTGCTCCAGGGAGACCCAGCTGGATGTGCCGCCTGGCCCTGTGGCGGGAAGAGAGGCCTCCCGGGAGGAGGCCCGGCCCAGCCTGGCCCGGCCCGTCAGCCCCCCGACAGCCCCTCGCCCTCTGTGGGTGAGCCTGTGCTGCCACACGGCCCTCCTCAGGCCCTAGGCCGGGCTCGGAAGAGGTGCAGGATGGGCACCCAAGCCAGGGCGTCACCCCACGGGCTTCTTCTGCTGGAGGAGGCGGGCCAGGTGGACAGGGTGGGGGAGACCAGCAGGAGGTGCCCCCACATTTACACACCAACCACCCATGCTGGCTGACATGGGGGTCCCCCCAGGAGGAGCAGCACCTCCCCCACATGGCACAAAGGGCCACACACCCCAGCAGAGCTCGCGCACACCCTGCCCCCAGCAGCGCCAAGCTCAGCTGCACCAGGCAGTCGAAAGGAAGGGGACACTGCTTGCGGGGGGGGGGGGGGGGGCAAGCTCAAGCCCTGTGCTCACCTTCCAGGCCCCAGCAAGGTTTGCCCCCTCCCCACGCTCCAGCCGGCACTGTGCACAGGCCACCCTGCCCTCCAGCATCCGCAGGCCCTGGGCTGGGGGAGCTGACGAGGAGCGGAGGCACAGAGGGCTGTGGGGGAGCTGTCGGCTCGAGCCGGCACCTGGGCAGCCCTCCTTCGCTGCTCTTGCCAGGGGTGGCCTGGCTTCCTGGCCTAACCGTGGCTTAGCATGCAATCCGAGTTTGGGCAACATGCCACGTCATGCAAGGTGGGGGGGTAGCTACACCCACTGCAAGCCAAGCTAGTTGGGGTGGTTTTATGAGCCCCCCGCGGGGAGATCTAATCCGTTCCCTGGGAAGTGGGACAGAGGGTTGCTTGTCTGTTCCCACACACAGTCCTCTATTTTGGCATCAGGAATATAGGAACATCGCAGGAAACGCAGAAATGCTTCCAGCATTGTCTCCAGCTTCAGGGGAAATGTGATGAAGGGTTCCACTGCAGGACGCCCCCCCCCCCCCCCCCCCAAGCCGGAAAGCTTAGGCCACAGGCAGTGTCCGTATCAGTGTCCTTGCAGCGCCACGTCGGCCACGGCCTGGCCACTCTACCTTCTCACCTCGGTTCCCGAGCAGGCTCCGGCCCCTTTTCTCCACCCACCTCAATTTGCTGCATCCGCTTCTCCAGCTCATGGCTGCCCAGTGACGTCTCCGTGGCTGGGACACTGCCCTCGGTTTCCTTCAGCCACTGCCTGACGGACCTGACCAATGTGCGGAATTCATCTAGCTGCTCCTGGCAAGACGACGCGCCCTTCTCTCTGGAAGGCAGAAGGAAAAGCAGGCTGTGAGGAGGCCAGCCGGGCATCCTGCAAGAGGGTGTCTCCACCGCAAAGCCCCTGCCTCTCTTCCGCGGGCAGAGCACACCGAAGGAGGCCCTCTGGGGATGGCCTTGGGGCTCTGCTCCTGCCCCGCTGTCGCTTCCACAAGGAACCCAAGGCAGCTCTCGCAGGCTCCCTCCTCTCCATCTCATCCTCTCAGCAACCCTGTGAGGTGGGCCAGGCCAAGAGTCAGGCACTGGCCCAAGGTCACGCTGTGAACTTCACAGCCCAGTGGCAGCCAGAGCCCAGGTCTCCGGGGCAGCTGGTCACACTGGTGGGTGTAGCTGGCAGTCCTTCAAGGCTCAAGCCCTTGGGGGTTTCGAAAGCTCGTACCACTGCTTCCACAGGGGTGCAGAAACGTCCTGGAGCCTGCCCAAGTCACCGAGCGCCGACACAAGCAGGCCCTTTTGGCCAGTCCCCACCCACAGTTCTGCTGCCTGCTTGGGATCGGTGGCAGCTTCCCGGCCATTTCTGAAAGCAGTCCCACGGACGACATGCCGCGGCAACCCAGACCAGGCTGCAGGTAACTGCAGCCCGGCTGCCCTGCCACCAGGCCCACACGTGCCTTCGGCACACCCCTTACTGGGAACCCAGCGCTTCAGGGGGACGTCAACCCCCAGAGCGGGCTGGGTGCCCTTCTTAGTGCTCTGAGTGGGGGGATCCGGAGCAGCCTCCCCCAAGTTGGCACCCTCCAAGGGTGCTGGACTGCAGCCCCGCTGGCCGCTGCCTGGGAATTGTGAGAGCCGCGTTGGGCACAACGGGAAGGCACGGGCTGGGCCAGCGGGTGGGACGATCGGGGCACCTGCGATTCCCTCTTTTTCACAGGACCACTGCAGTCGTGGGCGCTGTTTTTGTTTCCAGCACTGTTTAGAATCCCAAGTCTGCAGGGTTGTGAAATTAAAATTGGGAGAATCATGACCTGTGGACCTCGGTTGCACCCTTTCTTTCTTTGCATCCTATTTTGCTCCCTCATACTGGGCCGATTAATCTAACAGCAATTAGCAATGAACACAGCAGCAACAAACAAATACATGTCCACCAATATGGATGCCTCTAAAAGGGGAATGGTCAATTCAGGGCCGCCACTGGCTACCGATCCTCATGGCGAGAGGTGACCGCCATGCCTGTTGCTGAGGCTCCTGAAAAGGAAGGCGCAGTGGTGCCCCCCCCCCCCCCCCGTGGGATCCCAAGAGCAGCTGGCTGGCTGCCGTGGGGAAACCATGCTAGAGCCTCAGGCCAGGGGTGCGGTCCAACAGGCCTCCTCTGAAGGTTCTGGCAATTTAACAGCACTTCAAAGAGCACTCCATTCATCTCGGGAATCAGCAAAAACACCATACCAATAGGCCCTGATCCTGCGAGGAACAGCACCCACACTAAGCCGCATACAGCAGTCTGCAGGCAACTGGTAGTGCTGGGGTGAAGCAGGATGGGGGATGCAGGGGTGCTGGGGGGCATGCCTGCAGACCACTCCCCGCCTAGGTGATCTCAGGAAGTAGGCTGGAGGTGCACCACTTGAGAGAGCCGGAAACGGTCTGGGGAAAGCTTTGCTCCCCATAGAGGAGGTGCCCATTCCATCTGTTCAGCCTCCGGTTAAAAGGGCCTTTTACAGTTTGGAAGAAATAAAACCAAAGGTGAAAGCCATACACGAGTGACCTGTAGTGATTTGCCTGCCCAGGTGCCTTCCACCCGAAAACCACTGCTTACCTCTGTCCCTTTTTAGCACACCACAGGGCCTGTCTCAGTTTGACGGTGTGCCTTTCTGATTGCCTGAATCCCCTGTGACCAGAACCTGCTGCAGAAAGTCCAGCAAAGAACACTCCTTACCTTTCCCTTGCTGCTTTCTGCAAATGCAAGAAGTCTTTCCGCAAGCTGCGCACCCTCTCCTGGTGCAAGGAAGTGCCTGCTGGCACAAACTCACAAGAGCTCAGCTCTGCGGTCAGACGCTCCAAGGTGTCCAGGTCTTCGTGGTGCTGCTTCATCTCAGAATTCAGCTCCTGGGGAAATGGGGGACTAGATGAGGATGAAATGCCGCCTTAAGATCAAAAAAGCACGTGGCCCAGCAACACCTCCACCGAGAGGCCAAGAAGTCTGACCAGCTCATGCCTATGACTGCAAGTTGTTTGTCTGGGGGTGGTGGGCCCAGGGACCCTGTACCAGCTGAAGCCCTCCATGAAGCATAACAGCCAGGCTATGCCTTGCACGCATTTTGCTAACAAGGATAAAACTGGTAGGTTTTTCTGCTGAGGTTAAACTGAATTCTGCTATATTAAAAGATGCATTCTGTGGTTTGCAGAAATTATGCACATTCCTGGGCGAGCAAATAATCTCCACCCAGCTATGTCCTGGCAAGGATGAATCCCCTGGGAAGGAAGGAGACATGGAAGACAGGAAGCTGGACGGCAATCCAATACTTCCTCCTGAGCCCAGGCAGGTTGCAGAGGCGGGGAAGGCACCGCTTCTGCTCGATGTGCTCTGGAATCCAAATGCTCTCCCTGGCTTCTGCCCCACAAGCTCCAGCTCAGCACAGGCCCCAGCACCAACCTCCCTTCACAGCTGCCAGAAGGCTCGGCTGTACATGCAGTCCACGCCTGCTTTTCGTCCTTGTTGAAACCATGAGCCGGTGTGGATGAGCTGCGGGCCCCGGCAAGGGGGCCCGTTTCCTTCCAGAGCAGAGCTCCCATCTCTGCAGCCCAGAGCTGGCTGCCCGAGCTGGCACCGGCTCCCCGGGGCAAAAGCCTCCCCCAACCTTGCTGCGGGGGCCTCCTAACCTGGAGGCGGGCCCTCGGCTGCCCGAGGGCCATGCACTCCCCGTCTGGGCCCGTGCCGTGCCCCCTGCCACGCGGGAGCCTCCCACCTGGATCTGCTGGGAGAAGTGGGCGATGTCGTGGTCGGGCTGGTTCCCCGAGGCCAGCAGCCGCGTCCTGCTGTCTGTGAACTGCCGCAGCCGCTCCGAGAGCCGCTCGAACTGCTCCGCCCTGGGGAGGAGGCCCTTCAGGCCATGCTCCTTCTCCTGCTGCCACTGCTGCAGGCAGCCCAGGCGCTCCGTCACCTCGGCCAGCTTGCCCCGCAGGGCCTCGGCCGTGCCGATGTCGGCCGTCGCCATGAATGTGGCCGCCATGCCCCGCGTCATTTCCAGGCTGCTCTTCTGCCTGGCGATGTCCTGCTTCAGCTTCTGCGAAGGGAAGGGAAGGGAAGGGAAGGGAAGGGAAGGGAAGGGAAGGGAAG